CATAAGTTGCGGCACAGTGGCCGCATTCTCGCGGACATTCCGCGAAAACATGCAAAATTATTGGGAGCCGCACGGTCCTTTATGGAGGACCGCGCAACCCCCAGGTACTTTCCGCTGAAAGAAAGTACCCCAAACTTGGGTAATAAAACCATCGATGGCACCTCTGCCACATAGAGTCTCATCTTTTCTCGGCGTATGCCCGAAACCGCGTAAAAAGAGTCCGAGCGCCTGCTGAAAGTTTGGCCAGCGCTCGCTGAAAGAGATTGTTTGACGAGCGCTTGCAGAAAATTTTGTATTGATGCCCGCTTGCAGAAAACGGAAATACCGCTCGCTGAAGATTTGGCCACGCCCCGAAATCCTGCTGACCGCCTGCAGAAAAGCGCGAGTTTGCGGACCGCCTGCCCCCGGCGATTATCTGAGCGTGCGATAACCTGTCCGAAAAGCTTGTGTTCGACTAAATGGCGCTCATTCTTGGTGCTTAGCCCCTATCCGTCAGAAACGATATCTCCTTTGCTGTTTGCTTCAAAAACGAAGTCCAGCCTGCTTCCAGACGATCTGTGCCGGGCCCTGATTACGGATTTTCGAAAAATTATAAATTACCTATTGAAAAGAAATGTCTGTAACATAATCTAATTCTGGTTGTTTTCAAAATAATGAAGACGTTTGCATTGGGACAGCCTCAATGACCTCAGTGCCTGTGATATCTCAAGAAATATTGGCTGGGTGATTATCAGCGCTTGTACCTTGACATTATCTTGAGACTGAATTTGGGAAAAAACAATACGGAATCACATTCGTATATCTGCATTTGGCATTTCATTTTTAGGAATATTATTCGGTCCTTGTGAGACGAACATTTTTCGCCTCCAAAATTTCAAAAAATCAAATCGCTGTTGATATAAAACATACTGCGTTATCGAAAAAGCGATTGAGAACCTGTAAACCTGAACTTGGTCTTGTTATGAAGAAGGAAATTTCGAAAACTTCTAGTTGCGAATTTTGATCTTGGTTGGGCATTATTGGTGCAACCTTGACTTTACAACAAACAAATCTCATTACTGAAAAGAGTGTCGTTAAGCCCCCTAAGGCCCGTATGCACGTGCATTCCCGCTGGGGAGGGGAGAGGATCTGAGAGAGGATGCATCATATCTCGCTACTTTACGTATCTTTTTTCTCCTTTCTCTATCTTGCTTATACGGCTTTTCAAACACTTATACCTGCGCATAATGGATGCCAGGTTACTTTCATACAAGATTAGTTTTTTGCCATTTCATCTAATCCCCTGGGATGCGGATCCCCTGGGGACCCCCTTTCATTCTCAAACTGGTTTATCTTCCTAATAAATCAATGAACACGCTGCAAAATTGTACTGAGGATATAGTACGGCACTGCTAATCACGTTTTCGACAGGAGAAATGGAATCCGAAAAATGTGATTCGATGATCCCTAGCTAGAGAGAAAGAGATTACCGAAGATTTTGATATCCTGAGGTTTCACTTATTTCTGCTATAAATATGTTCAGCAGTGCCGTAGTATATCCACGGCGAAATTTTGCGCGTTTCATTGAGTTTTCAGGAAGGTTTTTGCCATTTTATGTGATGCCCAGAGGATCCCCTGGGAATCCCTTGAGAATCACGTAAAGTGGCAAGAAACTAACTTTGTATGGAAATAACCTGACACCAATTATGCGCATTTATGAGTGTTTGAAGAGCTGTATAAGCAAGATAGAGGATTAGAAAGAAAGACATTTGAGACCGCATGCATTAACATCCCCGCCGGGGAGGAGATCGCAGCTTCAGAAGAAAGCTTTATATCCTTAAGCTCCAAATATCTGGATTCCACGCTCTCTACCCGTAAGTAATCCCACCAGCCTTCACTATGAACATATTGAACGAGAGCAAAAAATTGTACAAGCCGCATTTTCCAGCTTTTTGCATGATCCCCTGATGATCCTTAGCGGCCGACCGTCTTGTCTTCAAATTCATTTTTCTTCCTTCATCTTCAACGAAAACTTTTCAGAGTTGTACGGGTTATCTAACCCAACAGTGCTAAGCATGTTGCTGATAAGCACAGATGAGTTTTTGGAAAATCGTTTTTTTTATAAACCCCAACTTTCGACTTGTGGTTCATCGCAAATTTCATGAAACAATCTGAAATCGAAACATCTTGTTCTTACCAGAAGTATGATTAGCACTGTTGGGTTAGATAAACAGCACAACCTTGGAATGCTTTTCTGTCTTTGAAAAAAGAAAAATGACTTCAAAAAAAAGACGGTCGGCAGCCAAAGATCATCAGGGGATCAGACAAAAAGCTGGATGCGACTTGTAAAGCCTCTTGCTCCCGCTCAAGATATAATATTTACAATGAAAGATGGTGGGAATACTTACGGGTAGGCAGACAGCGTGAAATCAAGATATCTGCAGCTTCAGGATAAGAAGCTTTCTTCTTAAACTGCGATCCCCTCCCCGACGGGGATGTTAATGCATGCGACCCTTAGGGCCGCATGCACTAACATCCCCGCGGGGGGAGGGGATCGCAGCTTAAAAGAAAACTTTATATTTCGAAGCTCCAGATACCTGGATTTCACGTTGTGTACCTATCCGTAAGTATTCCTACTACCCTTCACTATGAACATGTTGAACAGGAGCGAGAAGCTGTATGAACCGCATTTTCCAGCTTTTGTATGATCCCTGATGATCCCCGGCGCTTTTCTTTAGAGTAATTTTTCTTCCTCCGAAGTTCACGAAAAACCTCCAAAGTTGTGCAGATTGTCTAACCCGACAGTGCTAAGCATGTTGCTGGAACAAATGATGTTTTGAAGTCATGAGATTATCGATGATCCACAGGTCGAAATTTGAGGTTTACCGAAAAATTCGACTTTTCAAAAACTCATCTATTCTCATCAGCAACATGCTTAGCATTGTTGTGTTAGATGTTCAGTACAACTTTGGAAGGTTTTCGTTAACTTCGGAGAAAGAAAAATGACTTTAAAGAAAAGCGAATGCGGTTTGTACAGCTTCTCGCTCCTGTTCAACATGTTCATAGTGAAGGTTAGTAGGAATAGTTACGGATAGGTACACAACGTGAAATCCAGGTACTATCTGGAGTTTCGAAATGTGAAGCTTTCTTTTAAGCTGCGGTCCCCTCCCCGCGGGGATGTTAGTGCATGCGGCCCTTAGAGTAGCGAGATATGACTGATCCCCTCTCAGATCCCCTCCCTTCCCCAGCAGTGTGCGTGCATATGGTCCTAAATCAAAAACTAGACTACGTTTTTGATTTAGGACCGTAAGCAATTTTGCTCCAATCAAGATCACCCGACCAGGGCCCGGCACGAGGTGGGCAAACGGGATTTTCCAAAACGAATTCCCCTTTGATCCCAATAGTTTTTACGAATACCCCTTTGAGCCCAAAATGAAAGCGCTCAAAAGCGCCCAAAATGCTTAAATTCGTCTAATTACTCCTCACCTGTATCAAGTTAGAAAACAGGAAGAAGAATAAGCAAGAAAAATGATGAAGGAATGAAAAAATATCAAAGTAAAGCAGTCATAGGACTTACAAGGGAACGATACTCAATGTCCGTGGCCTTTTGAGACGAGATTCATACTATTACACTCGTCTTCGAACGCTGATTTCGAATCTGCCTTCCGTTTCTGCTAATCGTTTCTCTGAAAGAAGTTATGAGGAAATTTCAGGCCAAGTTTGGCGCTCAAGGGAAATATGGTCATTGAAACGGCCTCTCCCGAGGCCACCTTCTGGTTTAGTGGTTAGTGCGATAGCCTTATGAATTGATCAGGTGTAGGTTCAAATCCTTTTGTGTTTTTACTTTTGCATTGCCTCAATTAAGCTTGTTCGAGAAAATTTACTTGAACTATGATCACTGGATACAATTTACGGCAAATAGTAATCATTTTTTCCAAATTTCCACATTTTTTGAAGAGTAAGGGCGTTCACTTAGCTCGATGATGCGAAAGAAGGTCAACTGATGCAATGCAAAACTGAAAAGCACAAAAGGTTTCGAACCTGCACTTGCATCAACTCATGAGGCTAACGCACTAACCACTAGACCACAGAGCACCGGTAACGGCAGCGCTCCGATCGTATTTCACCGGGCAGCCAGAATCCGCGCGATCCATTATAACATCATTGAAGCGATTAGCAGAAACAGAAGTCAGATTCGGTATCAGTATTCCAAGACGAGTGTAATGGTATACATCTCATCTTGAAAAGCCACGGACACCGAGTATCGTTTCCTTGTTAGAGACGCCGCGCGCTTATCGATTGACTGGGCGCGTTTTCCATTTTAGAAAGCTAGGCTGCTGATGCGATTTTGGGCTCTAACAAAGACAAGAGGAGGAGTTTCGGAACCAAAATCTCACCATATAGTAAACTTGTGTGCACAACAGATTTATGTAAAAATTTTGAAAAAATTATGTGAATTAAAAGTTTTGCCCACCTCAGCTGGGCATTAGGTGGGCAATTGCCCACCTAATTTGGAAAAAAGTTGGGCACGCTCTCATTCACATAAGATTTTCATGATTTTCCAAACTTTGTTTCCTAGACCTACTGTGCGTATACACAGCGAATGTCGCGCGATTTCGTCATCGTCGTTGCAAACGAGCCATTTTCCCATTTTCTTGATAGTGGGAAATATTCAGAAAAAAGCTTGCCACAACCTTCAGTCGCACAATTTTTCAATGAAATAAGCTAAGCCCTGCAGGCACGTTCATGTACCTAGCAAGTTTCATACCGTATGGTCATCTGTGCCCTGAAAACAAGCCATTTGAATTCACATCTTCATTTACCAGTTTTGCCAACTTTTTTGGAAAAAATGCTTATTACTCCTCCCATTCACATAAGTTTTCCATAATATTTCACGCTTTGTTTTTACTAGCCTCTCTTCGTTCGCTTACATAATTTGGTGCTATGTCGTTACGCCTGCATTGAGAACTGATCATGTAATCCTGCCTGTTCGAAGGCATCGCCAATGCGACGTCGCGCACGCGGCAATTAACGGCAACGCGGCTTAGCGCGCGCGAACTCTGCCGCGCGTTGAGATTCATGAAAACTATTTCCCAGTGAATTAGATGTATAAGGTAAGGATTTCGACCTTCTTTTGCTTGTACTTGGAATTTTCTTCCGGGGCTCAGCCCCGGATCCCGCAAAGGCGATATACTCTTTGTTTTTTGGCCCCAAAACGATTCCCAGCTCGTCATTTGCCCACCTCGTGCCGGGCCCTGCACCCAACATCAAAGTCCTGTAGCAATTTTGCTACTGGGCTTTGATTTCGAAACTTTATTTGAAATCTCGGTTACTGGAATCTAATGCCCTATGAAGTAGTCGCAAAGTATGTTTGTCGGATTAAAGCGCACAAAAGCATCTGAAGCGACACAGGATAAGGGGGTGGGGAGGGATTGCAATGTTTGGTATCCTCAGTAGCTCGTAATTATTGCGGGTCCGAATTGCCTGTCAAGCAGATTACTTAGGTGCGAGGATACAGCTCGGCTAGAAAACTCCCGCCTCCCTTGATTTTCTTGTCGATCACAAGCATCAAAAGACGCTAAAATGCTGTCAAATGACATTTCCCTACCTTGCTCATATTACACCATCACTAAAGCGTCGTTTAGAGCTGTTGTAAAGAGTTTTTGAACAATTATCAGCCTTATCTTCCAAATTCAATTTCTTTTTCTTTTCTTGTTCTTACTTTCACATAGTAAGTAATCTGGTTTCCTAATAAACGCCCTAACGCCTCTTATCGCCCTTTTTGCCATGCACTTCAGTTTACATCATATTCCAGATCTTTTCAGTCTATGAATGCGATGGCATGACATTATTTCTAAAGCCGTTGTCTTTCTAATTTCTGTGATTGTTTGGAGGTTATCGCTACGCCTACTATCGCAACGAATTCCTAGTTTTTCTGGACGGCACAAGTACTTTTCTAAGCGTCTCATAAACGATGATGATGCTTTGAACAGGCATCGATTGAATATCTCCAAACATATGTATTCACAGCTGCGTAAACAATCTGATCATGTGAGTTTATAGAAGTGAGAGCTATACCAAAGAATCTAAGGTGATAGTGATCAAAATATCAAGCAATATGAAGACAATCGAGTGTTTAGGTAAAATTCTGTCAAGTACAGAACAAGTTTAAGTCAATAATATTCGAATCAGCTGTAAGCAAAATAATGTAAAAAAAGTAGTCATTATATGGAGACTTCTGTGTCCTCACCACGGTTTGCGTATGATTTTCTTCTTTCAGTTTAGTCCCTTGGAAATTCGAATTATTGCCTCCGACAGAAGACAATCCTATCTTTCTCAGGTATGTATGGGTAATATGCTAGTATTGACTAGTGCATTTGCAACGGCGACACTCCACTTGCGGATGGACAAATTTTCATGCTGCAATGCCGATTTGCGCTCTACAAATGGCTAAGAAGGACATAATTACAAGTTCTGCGCCTTATGCTTTGTTGGCAGGAGCAGGGCACACCACAAAGTTTTTTCTGTGAAACCTACTAGAAGCTTTACGAATTCTTTTTTTAGTTTTATCTTATTTTTGTCCTCTTTTCAATCATTCTTGTACAAATTTCGGCTAAAACCTAGCTTTTGAATGCCAAATGTCATGGCACCAAACAAATTAATGAATGGTTTGAAGAAGCGTTAGATAAGAGCGAATTGAATAAATCGCGTCACGGAACAGCATGATGAATGAACATCAGAAGATGATATATGTTGGCTAGCAGGCGAAGCGAGCGCCCTCAAGCGCGCCGCAAAAGTCAGTCATGAATTGGTGGAACATGCTCTGTAGCCGTACAACCAATCTTAGAGACAAGCACACGTTTCAGAAATAATTTCTGCGTGGTTGACATACTATATACAAAGTGTTCTCTTTAAAGAGCGCAAAATTTAAATGCAAGGCCAAGACATTCGAACGAGTTGCTTACAGCGCAAAGGTAATCTTATGACACCGAGTTTGGACTACATGCGCATAATATTGCTCAAGCAAACATTGTGTAAAAACAAACTCTGGTTTACGTGACGCAGTACCAGGGCTCGGCACGAATTGGCACCAGGAAAATTTCAAAACGAAATCCCCTTTGACCATGAAATTTTCGTACTAAGTTCCCTTTGACCTGTTCTAAAAACCCGTCATTATTCTTAAATTCTGTAAAAACATGCAGTAGGGTTTTCACACATTTTGACTTCATTGAACAACAATAACAGCAATTGCTTAGGGCGCGCTTTGTGATTGAAGCAGATTGTTCGGCTACGGAGTAGACCAAGAAATTTTCGGGTGACTGTAAAACGCCGGAAAGAAAAAGTTAAAAAATCTGTTTTTCTTTGTATGTAACCTTTCACAATGTAGATTCATGAAAAAAGTATGAGAACTTACGTGAGCAAAGGGTTTTCATTTACATAAGTTTTCATACATTTTTGGGTCATAATTCGGGTTTCCTCGCACGCACACATCAAATTTGGTTTCAGATGATCGCGTTTTGTTTATAAACAAGGATTTTGTTGGTGGGGCAGAATTCAAATCCATGCTGTGTTAGCATCGGCATATCGGCGGTATACCAATGGCATGCCGTTGACATGCTATTGGCATACTGGTGTCATGCTAATAAACAGAGGTATAAAATTAAGCATGCAGCGTGTCCCTGGCATTCTAGCAAACAGCGGCACTTTAACCACAAAACGATGTCGTAACTGAGGGCTAGTGTCTACTGATTTATTGAGGTTTTAACCTTGATAACTGGGCACACGAACAGATTGAAAACAAAAAGTTTTATTTGTATGGCAAAACAAACAACAAAGGCCCCAAGACCAACAACGAACAAAAGCAACAAGAGAAACACGAAATCGAGGGGAAATGTTCAGATTTGACCCTCTAGCAGGGCTTCACAACTCCGTATTGATGATCTCCGGTCGCATCTTACAACAATATTTCTTTTGCTTTCCGCCCCAAAAAAGATATCCAGCTTGACCTCGTGTCACTTGTGCCGTACCCTGCGCAGTGCTTCTATTATTCGCCTTACGCCGGCATGACCAGTGGGTCATTATAAGATATGTATTTTTGCAAAACTGCGAAATATTTTGGTTTTTTATGCTCTCTTTTTCGGTCATTAATCTATCTATTACGAAAAGGTCTCACGCGCTTCTCTCCTCCTTGTAGCAATGAATCAGCATTGATAAATATTGCAATCAGTGCAACGATACGTTAGGGCGCCCAAATCGTTTGCTTTCCACCCAAGTTGTTGGTTTTTTGACTATTTCCACATTCTCCTACGTTTATTTATTTATTTAATTTGTACGCCAGGAGGCATGCTTCAATACAACGAAACCAGATCAGAACAGGGTGTAAAACGACAAATCAATAGAAAACATGAAAAGAAAAACAACAAAGGAACAATGATATTATGATGAATATGTCATCCAAATCTTGTCCAACCTACTTTGCACTCTCTGGACGAAACAGAAACATAAAAGAAACGTTGACCACCTAATTCCCTCTTCGCCCGTCAGCCCGATCAAGCTTCCCAAGTAGTGGGGACAGAGCGGAGGCCCGGCGATCGGCTACATTGGCCGCCTCCGCCAGATAAGCCAAAACGGGTGCCAGTACCGCCGCTCACCGAAACCCCCGCTTCTCCCCACGAACCCGCCATGACAGACCGGAGTGGTGGAAGAAGACAACACAACGCTTGCTGCTTCTGAGTGTTTTGATACTCCAAGGAGCTCTAGGTGTTCTATCGATATTAGCCAAAATAGAAAATTATCATTAAAAGACAAAGTATGGTGTATACTGTTAACTAACAAACTTTGTAACGTTCTTGGAAGTCAAACAGGACTTTGCCTTTCTGAAGAGAGGGATTAAGACGGCATATCGCGATACTTCTCCATAACGATCCAGTCGTCATGGTGGTGTTTTGGAACGCAAACGCGGGAGCATTTGAGTCGTAAACTAATCGGAGCTTGAAGCGGTTAAGTTTGAGATAACCGGCTTTTGACCACAAAAATATAGTGCAGATTGCTATAACGACATCTGTGCCTACTTCCGAATTCGGCAAAGAATGGGCGCTGCATTGACCGTGGGAGACGGTCAAGAGGCGCGTTTTCTCCGGCTGTCACCTACCCAGAATTTCGATTTAAAGCTATGCGAGTGTTCAAAAAGTACCAGATAAAGTGCATTAGCTTACTCTCCGTCTGAGGTTACCACTTGCCGAGTTTGGTGGCTTTTGCTGGAAAACGAAGCGAAATATCTACGAACTTGTTCTTAGCTGCATTTTTAAGAGTTTTTGACCTTCAAAAGTGATATTTAGAATTGATTTCAAGGTATTAAGATTGAACAACCCATGCAATTATCTATTATATCTCCTTCTAAATTTCAAATACTTTCGGAATCTTATGAAACACTTATTATGCGCTACACGGTGTCCATCTGGCAATAAAAATCGCGCTTCTTGACATACACCCATTGACCGTCAGGTCTATTAGCCTGTAGAGTCTTAATTTTGAACATTCACTCAGATTAGATACAGTACCACACTAATTATTCGACAGAAAAAGCAAAAACTGACGATCCGCGTTTTTTTTCGTTTTTCTTCCCTAACTTCCTTCGCGTTGCATAAAATATAAATCCAACGAAAGCTTAATGCTCAGCTCGTTAGGCGAATCTTTTTTTGTCCAAACAATATTGCTACTCCGTTTCCATTGTGCTCAATTTTTTTGTGAGGACGGCTTTCGCAGTGGTGTAGCGCAGCGCAAAACACACACACGAAAGATTCTAGCAGGCGCATTTCGATAGGGCTGTTATCGTAGATTATCATTCGCTAGCGATGAGCGAAGATCTCTTCTCAATGTTTATTGTTACCATACATTAAGGCGTTAACTTGCAAAGCAGGTGTGTTTTTCGTAATTAGCAAGCTAAATAACCTCCATGCGCAAAGTTTCCAAGAAATTTGAATACTTTGATTGTTTCTCGTTTTAAGATCTGAAGCTTACCGACAAGATTGGCTAAAATATTGATAATCTTGATCGACCGGAAACTTTGTCCATAGAGGTTTTCGGAGCCGCTGGTTACGAAAACAGTGCTCTCTGTGCACTATTCTTTTATCAGGCTTACGCTGAGGGAAATGCTGCGATGCCACGCAAATTCCCCAAGATTGCCCGCAATTCTCGCGTATTTGTTGGATAACTTATGTGCTCACTTTCAAAATTTGAAATCACTAGAAACACTGATGTTGAAGTATTTTTCAGCCGGGTCATTATCTGTACCGACCGCCCAACTACGAAATACGAACTCACGTCCTCATAGAAAATTTAAAGACCGCCTACTTTGGCAAGATATTGTCGTAACTGCTTACAGAACACTCTTAATGCAGGTACTATGCTTATATATGTGTGCATACATATGCATACATATATATAAGCAATAATTTTATAATAAAGCAAGGGGTAAGCAAGCATGCCTATAATTTTATATAGGCATGCTTGCTTACCCCTTGTACCAACTCTTCTAAGCTCATGGTTTGCAAAAAACGTTAGCGCCGGTAAAGATAAATGATATCCATAAAAACTGATACCGTATTCGTAATCAGCACCCTTACATACTCCCTATCCAACTCCCAGCCTCAAAGCTCAGTTTGCTAAAAATCGATGAAGTCGATGTCGACCGATGACGAGTAGCTAACGACACTCGCTCCGCCACAAGGTTGTGTGTAAAGTTTGATCGGGTTGATGCAGAGTTGCAACTGTTGGGCGCATACTCAGATAATCGCCGGGGGCAAGCGGCCATGCGAATTTGGAGCAAGCGGGCACCGGAAAAATAGTTCGCTGATTTTTTGTGGTCCGCTTGCAGAAATTTGGAATAATTTTGGCCAATTTTTAGACGAACGCTCGAAGATCTACCGCGCTTTTTCTATACATAAGTTGCGGCACAGTGGCCGCATTCTCGCGGACATTCCGCGAAAACATGCAAAATTATTGGGAGCCGCACGGTCCTTTATGGAGGACCGCGCAACCCCCAGGTACTTTCCGCTGAAAGAAAGTACCCCAAACTTGGGTAATAAAACCATCGATGGCACCTCTGCCACATAGAGTCTCATCTTTTCTCGGCGTATGCCCGAAACCGCGTAAAAAGAGTCCGAGCGCCTGCTGAAAGTTTGGCCAGCGCTCGCTGAAAGAGATTGTTTGACGAGCGCTTGCAGAAAATTTTGTATTGATGCCCGCTTGCAGAAAACGGAAATACCGCTCGCTGAAGATTTGGCCACGCCCCGAAATCCTGCTGACCGCCTGCAGAAAAGCGCGAGTTTGCGGACCGCCTGCCCCCGGCGATTATCTGAGTATGTACAGACACATAGGCACAGTGACAAACATACATTCGTTTACAAATGCACAGATAAATGCTTGCAGTGACTCTTGGAATTCTGAAGTCTGTCAGTCTCAATAAAAAATCGTGAAGGTCTCCCTGCAACCTTTCCACAGACGGCGCGATTCGGTCCTCGCGAGCATCTTGCTTAGGTCTCTCATCGCGCTCGCACTCAGCGAATACAATAAATACCGTATTCTTTGGCATTAATGGCTGACAAGCGCAAATGCCTCGAAATATGCTCGCGAACGCGTCAGCGGCCCAAGCTAGGCGGCTCGCAAGGACCCGAGCAGCGCCGATTGTGACGCTCAGATTAGAATCCTTTGTAGTTCTGAAATGAGAAAAATTAAGAAAGTGTGCAAGTTCGCATTTCTAACAGGTATTGTTGAAGACCCTCAAACTCCTCTTGAACGTCGATTGAACAAAAACTTCAAGATGAACTTCAAAAAGTAGGTTCCTTTCGTTTCTTATCCATGAACACTCGTAATCAAGGATTTTCGAATCCAAATCAATTGAAATAGCACTCAAAGCAAAGCGCTCACGTAGGTATTCAAAAGCACTGATGGAGTAGCAAGAAGGACCAGCGTTAGGAATGCACCTAGCGAAAAAAGAGCCGCTTTAACATCCACTTAACGATGAAAGGTTGCAGAGTGACTCCTACCATCTTTTGTTGAGATTGGCAGACTTCAGAATTCCAACTGTCACTGCAAATATTTATCTGTATCATCTGTAAATGAATGTATGTCTGTCACTATGCCTATGCGTCTGTACGTATGTGCTCAACAGTTGCACCTCTGCACCAACCCGATCAAACTTTGCACACAACCTTGTGGCGGAGCCAGTGTCGGCTATTCGTCATCGGTCGACAACGACTTCATCGATTATTAGCAAACTGAGCTTTGAGGCTGGGAGTTGGGTAGGAAGTATGTAAGGGTGCTGATTACGAATACGATGTTAGTTTTTATGTATATCATTAGCTGGCTCACCCGGCTCCGCCCAGCCCTGTCAAAACATCAAAACATTATGATAAAGCTTTATACCCTATCCCTGTAAAAAAACCTTTCTCTGTGCCCACTTCTACATGCAATTCCCTATTCCCGCTGTTTTAGTAATCAGCATGCTCGATTACCCCCCTGTGCCAAATCCCAGCTCCGTAGCTCAAACTTTGCAAAAAATCGATAAAATCGTTAAAAGTAATGGACGATTTCAAAAACCAATATTGTATTCGTAATGAGCATGCTTGATTATCCCCCTGTGCCAACTCCCAGCCCCGTAGGTCGAACCTTGCAAAAATAGATGAAATCGATGAAATCGATATGAATCGATGACAAAAAGTAGCCTATTGCTCACTTTCAAAAAAACGCTAGAAACACTGCTGTCGAAGCATTCTTCAGCCAGGTCATTATCTGTACTGACCGCCCAATGCGACGTACGAACTCACGCCCTCATGGATATTGTCAAGTTTGAAGATCGCTTACTTTGGCCAAATATTGTCGTAAATATTTACAGAACACTCTTGATGCAGGTACTATGCTTGTATATATGTTTGCATACATATGCATACATATGTTGATAATTTTGAAAAGGCATGCTTACTTACCCCTTGTACCAGCTCTTCTAAGCTCATAGTTTGCAAAAATTGTTAGCGCCGGTAAGACAAATCTTATATATAAAGCTGAGTGACTGTCTGTATGTCCGTATGTCTGTCTGTGTGTATGTATGTGCAGGGCTCCTGAATTGCAGAGTCGTTTGCACCAGCGGTCGCGCACCGCGTCGCTCCCGTGCATTTTGCCGGCGCCGGCGCCATCGATCGAGGCGGCATGATGCCCGGGCGCGACGCGGTCGCGCGACCGCTGGTGCAAACGACTCTGCAATTTAGGAGCCCTGTACGTATGTTCCAAATAAAAATTTTTATTTCTGAACCGAACCGGCCCCGAAGTATATGTGTGCCAAGTTTGGTCGGGTTCGGTTTAGAAATAAAAATTTCTATTCGGAACATACGTACATACATACATACAGACAGACATACGGACATACAGACAGTCACTCAGCTTTATATATAAGATTTGTCTTACCGGCGCTAACAATTTTTGCAAACTATGAGCTTAGAAGAGCTGGTACAAGGGGTAAGTAAGCATGCCTTTTCAAAATTATCAACCTATGTATGTATATGTATGCAAACATATACACAAGCATAGTACCTGCATTAAGAGTGTTCTGTAAATATTTACGACAATATTTGGCCAAAGTAAGCGATCTTCAAATTTGACAATATCCATGAGGGCGTGAGTTCGTATGTCGCAGTTGGGCGGTCAGTACAGATAATGACCTGGCTGAAGAATGCTTTGACAGCAGTGTTTCTAGTGATTTTTTGAAAGTGAGCACATAAGTTATCCAACAAATGCGCGAAAATTGCGGGCAATCTTGGGGAACTTGCACGGCATCGCAGCATTTCTCTCAGCGTAAGGTTGATGAAAGAATGGTGCACAAAGAGCATGTTTTCGTAACCAGCGGCTCCGAAAACCTCTATAGACGCAGCTACACAACTGCGAAAACCCGAACTCACAAAAATTGAGCAGAATGAAAGCGGAGTAGCAATATAGTTAGTATAGCACAGAAAAAGATTCGCCTAACGAGCTAACAAGGGAATGGTCAGAAGTCGAAGTGGTCAATCCAAGCGAGCAGCCTAGATGGAGCATAAACCGCTGACTTCGAATCTGTGTTCCATATCTGCTCAGCGTCTATGTGGGCGAATGAACCTTCAAAGGCCGTTATTTTGCTAAGAAAACGTGCATGCAAAGCGCAGAATTGGCACTACGGGTCCATGTTTGGTTTGATGCTAGACCTAATCATGCAGCTAAGTTTACTTTATATTCCTAAAATCTAAAGGTGAGCCAACAATGTGCTCAATTTTTATGTACGATTTTTTCGCAATAAAACTGCTCACAACTCGTTCACAAAGGCGCTAAGCAAATATAGAATACAGATCGTTCACAAAGGCGCTAAGCGAATATAGAATACAGATTCAAAATCAGCGTAGAATGCTGCATCGAATGGTGGGCAGCCTGCTCGTGTTGATCACTTGGCCTTCTGACCATTTCCTTGTAGGTATGTTGTTGGATTTATATTTAATGCAACCTGAAGGAAATTAGGGAAGAAAAACGGAAAAAACGCGAACCGTCAGTTTTGCGTTTTCGGTCGAGTATTACTGTGGGTACTGTATTTCACGCATCTAATCGAGAATTCAAGAGCTCATTGTAGGTAATTACTTTCTTAGTGGATGCTTACCAATCTCAAAAACAGCTCTCACCCAGCCTTGAAATTTGCAATGTGGAACCGGAAATCTTCGAAGAATTACGTCAGTTTCAGTTGCATGTGCCAGTTAGGACAATCGGAAGTAAGCTTTGCAGCGAACATAACATTCTTCAAACACGTGTTGGCGCTTATCCAGGAAGAAGCTCGCGAAGTTCTACTCTAGATGAGATCATCGTCAAAGAAGCGTTAGACTACTGGAAATGTCTAAATCGTACTACTAAGAAAAGGTGAGAACAACATGATGCTTGATATCAAAATAAATGTGATCAGAGAAAGGAGTAGTTGCCATTTAATCGATTATAGTTTCTAGATACTCAGCATTTTTGGTTTACACTGAAACAGACAGGCTCAATGTCACGTGCTAAGCTTGATCACACTTTTGGCTCTTTCTGCAATGGCCAAAGAGATGAAGTACAGTCTGTCTCCTGTTCTAATCAAGCCAAAGTTGGCGTACGGAATCCGTGTCGAGAGGGTTTAGCGACACGTCTACAGTCAGCTTGTCTTGCTCTCTCTTTACTCTCTTCCTTTTTTTCGAAGTGCGCATATGCGGCGCAACCCCCTAGCGGTGCGACCGCGCAGATTTATGCCAACGTTTCGGATCGATCTCAATTGTGACAGACTGTATATGCATTTCAACACTAGCACTGTGGGGTACGAGGGGTGACGGTTGTTCCTGTACAAAAGCTTTTGTACAAGTCATGCATTGGAACGTTCTAGCCGCCTGTGGCCGCCGGCAAACACGGCCAGTAGCAAATAGCGGTTGATGATTTGCCTTTATCTAGATAAGAGTAACAGAAGAGCAATGCTTTTCTCATTGAAGCTTCGTCATGTTAGGTTCTTTGTAATCATTTCATGATGAGGAAACAAACTAGAGATATTTAAAATCTGACACCTATTGCACATAGATGTGCACCATCTTCTCAGACACTGGGAGCGGACGAGCCGCGACCCCAAAAGGTCTTTCTGGCCCGGCCGCGGCCTTAATTTGAGGGCATGGCCTGGGCGCGCCGGCCCGCGGCCCTTCGTTCATGTCATTATGATTGCACCGGCCGAGCCATGGGAGGGAATGGGCTCACCGGTTCAGCCGCGGCCCTTAGTGATGGGGCGGAGCATTGCAGCGGCTGAGCCGCGGACCAAAATCGGTGTAAGAATCTCGGCCGAGCAGCGGCACATGTCCAATAAAGGCGGCTCGGCCGCTCCTGATGTTTGAGTGAAAAGGGTACTTGCGTGATGTTCGACGCATGGTCATGCTCAATAACCTTGGATGTTCTCCGAGGTACGAACAAGATCATATGTTGTCTTATGAACAACCTTCGATAGCATCTTGGTGTTATCCAACGTTGATTTTTGTTTTTTACTGTATATTTTCTTATGTTCCATGCTGCGCCAAGGTCCAATTAGGCCGAGCTAGAATGAACTACGGACGGCCCGACAACAGTTGCGGCTGGGCCGAGGCCCACGTGCGGCCGAGCCGAGGGATCTGCGAAATTCCAGCCGGAAAAGATTGCTCCCGCGGCCCGGCCGGAGATTATGCCTCGGCATCGTCGGCTGAGCCGAGGCCCAATCTCCGGCTGGGCCGCAGGAGCTGCAAAAATCCAGCCGGAAAAAGACCGCGGCTCGTCCGTTCCCAGTGTCTGAGTTGATTGCAATACCATCAAGTGTAGATGATAAAAAAGCACAAAAGAAAAATCCAGTAGGAAAAACGTTAAAACATGATTGCAAGCACGGTTTGGCATTAAGAACACGCACGCAAATCAAAGAAATGAAGACTTTGCTCAAGACAAATTGTTGATTATTTAGATATGTTTTGCTGCTTGAAGATGATGCACTCGTTATTCCCGATTTCGCTAGAATGTTGTCATCGCTAGTGGAGCAACTAGATGTACATGATAGAATTGATTATGTGAAAATGTATCATCCAAACCATCTGAGGAAGATACCCTCAATTCCATTGGTGCGTTATCACGGAGATTTATACATTAGGTGCTCAAGATATGTTTGTGCCGATTTAATCTCAAATCACTGGTTCCTAAAAATTTGAAAGAACATATAACCTGCCGTAATTAGTCGAATGCTTTCAAAGAGCTTCCTCGATGTAGTAATTTAACGGTGCACGAACTTCACGAACTCTGAAGGGCATAACACTAGCATTCTCTTCACTGCAGTGTGAACATCTAAATCGTAACGCTGTAGCACAGTGCTGAGAACAGCATTAGTTTTGCAAGCTATATGTATTCACCGGCATGAATAGTGCACATTGAAATGATTTTATGACTGGATCACATAGTGGAGAAAACTTGAAATCATAATATGTCTGTTTCAGGGTATCACTCTATGTTTTGTGTTCTGCTGTACATACTGTTTTGCAATTTATCGACGGGTATTGTTGTGTTGGATTCTAGTCACCTCTATCATCTTGTTTCTTGAACTTCGCTCTTATGGTTCACAGGTGGAAATTTATGTAAATCTATGTTTAGCGGCTCTAATCGGAAAGATATTTCAGTTTATCGCTGATCTACGCTATCATCTTACCAAAACGACTTATATGAGCAGCACGGAATCTTGTTGCACTCCAGCAGTGCTTTTCCGAACATCAAAGATAGAGGAGATCGTCTTAGAGTTAAATGAAGAGACAAGAAAAAACGCGCGTGTTGGGCACGCCAAAGACCATATCTTAGATGAATCACGTTTTGTTGGGAGACAAACCGATATGAACCTTGTCGTGCATATTGGGGCTTATAGCTCCGTTCGCAAAAGAAAAATCAAGTTAGATTGATTAGGAATGAGACATCTAAGCTCAGTCATCATTTTGGATTAAAGAAACTCTTTGTGACTTTATATTTATGCACGTGCCTTATCTAATCAAGGATCCATGTCATGTATTGCCTGAGTAAAGGCAGCATCTTTCTACACTTCATTATTGCTTTTAATAAAGTTTCTATTTTATGCACAAAAAATGATGAAGACTCACACTAAGAAGATGGGATAGAGAACAAGAGAGGTGTGATATAACCTTTGCGGGCAGATGATATTTCATCGGGTGATGCAAAAGTAAGGCATCTCAATTTTTCACTTTGACTATCTATTTTGAACGACAACAAACAAACAGCGTATCTTTCATCCATCATCGCCATAAACATCCTTGCCTAACATTCTTTTACGCGACATTTCGAAAAAATTATACCGGTATGTCATGTTATCGCTGCAATACACCAAAGTTAGGAAGACAACATACCATATTAAGATACCATACATTATGATAGTTCTCGTTTTTTTTCGCATGACAGGTTTTGCCAAAAAAAATTTCTAAATCTATTTTGATCTTTTATTGCGCACAATCTGTGGCATTGACATAATTATCTGATACGATCTAATAAATCATCCAGACAAATTTGCGTTTCTTCGCTTGCCGTTTAAGGAGATCAAAGTTGGTGAGCCCCTTTTCCATGTGGTTACCTTTCTCAGCCGCCATGGTCCCTGGGGATTCGTCCGCGGGATTTTGAGTGTCAGGCTGCCCTGGTAATTTCTATCCATCGAGTTCGGGTAAGGGGGCAAATTTTGGTAGACGAATACTCGCCACAAAAGCAAGAGAACGACCCGCATTTCGGCCGGAAACTTCCATTTGCCTCACCTACTTATGTACTATTGTGTAGCATTTCGTGCTTGATCTTTTTTTTTATTTTTCGGCACATCTTTGGTGTATGTTAAATAAATAACTAAAGAGCATTCCGAACTCCTTATTTTGGAAAATTGCATGTAAGTTAGTTATAGCAGATCCTTTTGCGACCCCCTATGTTTACAATGAACCCTCTCCTACATGGCGCAAAAAAGTAAGTAATCATAGGCTCTCATCGCCAAGATATAGGAATCTGTATGGCTTCACGCGGGGCAGGGAGGGAAGGGGTGAGGGGAGGGGAGGAATTTTTTGGAACACTCCCCCCCCTCCATTTATACAAGAGTCATTTTGATAAAAATTGAATCACAACTATTGTGGTGGTGTATCTATTAGGTCGTTCCGAAAGTTATGTCGCTTTTTCCAAACGTACGCCACATCATCTCGTGGAACAAAGAGGTGTAAGAGACTCTGGTAGCATTTGATACAGCATTTCATTCTCTTTCTAATGGTTATATAACCACTGCACAAAATTCAATAACCTCTCAAAAATTATCAAAATCTGCGACCCATGCTTTCTGAGAAGGCCAAGTTTCACAATTTTCCTAAATTTTTATAACAACCCTCGAAAGGAGCCCATGTAATGCTTGGATAAAGCAAACCCTACAGGAAACAGCACAACTTTTCTCTACTTTCCAGAGCTCGTCATGATTTTTGTATAGATTTTTTTTTGATGGAACCACCGAATTTTAGCAGGCTCGTCTCAGGCACAAATTCATCAAACACCAATAAATCTTCGGATTTTGAAACCTACAAAGATGAATTATGGTTTGACACTAATTTTACAAACCAAATGAGCATCTACCGCTTAAGATTAGCAACTTTCGAAAATTGCAGGTACAGGCTGAGGCGCCCTGGAAAACCTGAATTATGATGATTTTATCCCGGAAAACTTTATGGATCGAAAACCAAAAACAACTAGTAAATAGAGGAGAAAAAGCTGCGTCGAATGTCACCCGCAGCTTGCCGGTTGTTGTTTTGTCAGGTTTGAGTTGACCAAATATGGAATTTGATGGTATTGAAAAATTGATTCCGGAAACTCTAAGCAGCAAGCTAACGAAAAGAAAAAAATTACTATGTGTCCTATAGGGTTTGCTCTATCTAACTGTCGCATGTACTTCTTCGGAGAATAGATACAAAAATTTAGAAAAAATAGCCAAAACTTAACCATGGCAGAAAGCATGAGTCGCAGGTTTTGGTAATTTTTCGAGAGCTTACTGAGTATTATGCATTGGTATTACAGCCCTTAGAAAGAGGAGGAAATGCTGCATCGAATGGTTTTAAGATCTCTTAAAAATCTTGGTTCCATGAAATGTAGCGCTCATTTGAAGAAAGCGACATTACTTTCGAAACGACCTAATAAAATTGGTTGACAGGTTATCTAAAAGGAAAAGAGCAGTTTTTCTGTTTCAATGTGCCAGCTCGTTTTACGGTGCGCGTTTGGTGCGTCGCATATTGATTTTATCGTATTTTTGTGATGAAGCAGTTGGTTTTCATCAAATTTGTACCATCCGAAAAAGCCAATCCTGCTTCACAAAATGTGCTCTATATATTCGGAACCAACCAAAAGACCTTTTCTTCATAAAATCTCAAAGGAACTTTTGAAAGACGAAAAATTGCTATTCCAACATCGCATCTTCGGCTCCATAAACATAATCATCAATGATAATTCTTCGTCTGAAGTTGTTGGTTATGAGAAACAAATGTTTACGGGATTATGATGCGTATTAATGGAACTAAGCTTTGTGTCAAGAGAGATGCTGCAGAGAAGGATAAAGCGCACTTTTATCATATGTGTGGATGTTTGCATTTATTAAAATTGAGAAAATATTCTTGCCAAAAATTTTTGGGAAAGCGTAAAGAAGCTGGTGTTAGACAAAGCCGTTTATTGAACAAGGCTCGACGGCAGGACCGAAATATTTTGTTGCAAATCAACGTGCTAAACACAAGCGGCAGCAGTCGAAAACAACAGTTGAGAATTCGTTTAGAAAGCAGCTTATTGGCGTGACGCTGTTTCGTCAGAATAGCCTTGCTTATTATTAGCTATTGTCGCAATCCAAGAATAGCATGTTATGTGGCATATGGACAAAATGCGGAAAGTGGAGGTGCGCACATTGTCTTTGCCAACTAAAAAACCTTACCCTTTAAAAAATCATAAACTGAAAGTCATTAGGCATGTTAAGGAACTAAAGCGCAGGTCTTGTACAGCAGATTTGGCTCTTCTGAATAGTAGACGTACTTGGCCGTAAGCCAAGCGCTTCGTCAGAAAACGACGACAAAAATGAGAACGCAACGAAATTATGGAAGGACATGTATGTGCTACAACACTTTCTGAATACGGTAGAAAAAATCGATTTAACTCGTTAATACCTGAGCAGATGGAGTCATATATAGGCAAGAATAGACTTGATCTTTCGGCTGTCTCGCGGAATATATTGTTCGTGCAGGTGCCCCTGACATCTTCTCGATTAGTCATTTCCTGCATTTCAATCAGCGCTTATGACAATGATTGACTCTTACATGTATTTCTTCGGCTTTCCATCATTTGCTCTCCAGTCTGCGGAGGGATATTCATGTGCATTCGCACGACAAAAACTTTATCAAACCTCCATTTTCTATTGAATTTCCTTCAAACAAGAGCCTTACAGGCCTAATTTTTTTTTAAAGCTAGCTGGCTTTTCCGGTAAAGCCCGGGCCACGCCAGCTGACCCTTGTTCCAGCTCTCACCCCCCCCCCCCATTAGCTGCGCTACAAAAGATTCCTGTATCAAATTACCCGTTGTAGGCTCGTCTTGAATCACCGCATCCTTCGTTACAAAGGGTTCCTGTATCAAGGTACCCGATGTAGGCTCGTCTTGAATCACCGCATCCTTCCTATTGCGAAAATCGAATAAACTCTACTGCTATTAGCTTGAAGCTCCTCTTTTCTTTGAACCTCGGCATTACAATGATTTAGTTCTACTTGTTAATTGTGCCAGCATGAGGTTTCGGCGAAGCTTTATTAGTAGAGCGGTCTAACGTTTCGAGCAATCCTCGTCTTCAGAGGCCGTGGCTCTACCGCTATCGCACCGATGGTGGTGTGCGACCGCCTTCTCCGAATTAGTAGTGCAAATATTTGCACTACTAATTCGGAGACGAGGATTGCTCGAAACTTAGGCCGCAAATAAAGCAAATAACCTCCCCCCCCCCTAATAAAGCTTCGCCGAAACCTCATGCTGGCACAATTAACAAATAGATCTACTGCTATTGTTTACACAAAATCATGGAATTGACGTGTTAGCCTATGTTTTGAGAACTCATTCTTATGCCAAAAATCAACAAATCAATAGAACGACCCAGTAAATTGCCGCAAAAAGTAGCGCTAAACCATCTTTGGGGTCAAATACATGTGTGCAAAGTTCCAGCTCAATCGGTTCATTAGCGGACATTTCTATTACGAACGAACAACTAAACGAACACACTTACGAAGTTTGAGTTTTATATATATAGATATCAGTGGCGTACCGAGGGGGGGGGGGGCGGGGGGGGGGGGGGGGCGCGCGCCCCCCCCCCCCCCCCCCCGAGAACGGGTCGCGAAATTTTTGAAAGTTACTTACATGCGTTATAAAAATTACAACTTCGCACTTCAAAATCAATGCACAGGATAACCGTAACAACTCCGATGAATTTCTGGAGAATGACTCTTTACCCATGTCAAAATGTGTTCAGGTTGGTCAATAAGGCCAGTGGCTTCTCAGGTAATCGCCGAGGGCAGGCGGCCATGCGAATTCTGAGCGAGCGGGCGCCGGAAAAATAGTTTGCTGATTTCTTGCGGTCCGCTTGCAGAAATTTGGAATAATTTTGGACAATTTTTGGACGAAAGCTCGAAAAACTATCGCGGTCTTTTTATGGATAAGTTGCGGCCCACTGGTCGCATTCTCGCGGCCTTTCCGCGAGGATATGCAAAATTGTCGGAGGGCGCACGGTCGTTTGTGAAAAACCGCAATGCCCAGGGTACCTTCCGTTGAAAGAAGGTACCCCGAAACTTGAGTAATTAAACCAACGATGACGCCTCTGCCATATAGAGTCTTACATTTGCTCGGCGTACTACCGAAACTGCGTAAAAAGAGTCCGAGCGCTTGCTGAAAGTTTGGCCAGCGCTTGCTGAAAGAAACTTTTTGTCGAGCGCTTGCAGAATATGCTGTATTGCTGCCCGCTGGCAGAATATACCAGCGAATACGATAGAATACGTGAATGAAGTGTTCCCCGCGATTAACTG